TGACCTTACCCTCCTTATTTTTGGCAACGTTTATTAAATGTTGCGAATTACCCTTTTCGCAACGTTTAATAAACGCTGCTAAAATCCCGTATTTTGCAACGTCTAAAAAACGTTGCAAAAGAAAATTATTTTTGCAACGATTAATAAACGTTGCGAAAAATGTTTAATAAACGCTGCAAAAGAAAAATGTTTCAGCAGCGTTTTATAAACGCTGCAAAAAATAATAAAATTAGCAATACGAAATAAACGCTGCGAAAGGCCACATTAGCAACACAAGTTTATAAAATGTTGCCAAAACTCAATTATGCTAATCAATGGCAACATTCACTTATTAAAATGTTGCAATAGACTCCTTTAGCAACATTTAACTACCAAATGTTGCCATTTAACTGTTGCAAATAGTCATTTTTGGTGTAGTGTGTATTTATGAATTTTAATTTTTAAAATTCCCAATAAATAAAATGGGATTATTACCGTTTCAATATTATTTGGAGGGAGAAATACTTATTTCTTTCCTTTTTCATTGTCATTGTGAGAGGTCATACGTATAAATTACATAGGTTTCATTTTTATGTCACATTTTTTTATCACACTACAATTTCGCATGGCAAGTGAATACGGAGTAACAATTTCGTAAACATTTATAATCCCAAATGCCTCCCTACTATGACATGCAGAATGGTTTATGTGACCAATTATGACACATAGAATGATGGTTGTGACTAGAAAAAATGTAAATGAAATTATAATTCTATGAAGCCATAATTTATTCTTTCCTTATTATCATAGACGTGAAAATATGGAGGAACATAAATGCATGCAGATTTTCAGAATGAGAGAGAGAGAAATCAATATCATTTAATAACCCTCAATTCAGGTCACATTCTTATCTTATATAATTCAGTTATTATCTATTTTAATATAAAAAAATCTTGAATTATGAAAAGTTTCTCTAACTGATATTTTTAAAAATAATATAATCTTACTGCTTGTTAGAATTTTTTTTCTCCTTTTTTTTACATAATAGCTCACTCTAAAAGATTTTCAGTACTACCCTGGTTCTGCCCCTATTTATGGTGGTGGCGGTTGATAATTGAAGATTTGCTAGGGGTTGTGAATTGAATGTGATAGCCGTTGTTGTCTCCACCATCAGCGTGGATGAGTGTGGGGTTCTGCGGCTGTCAAAGGTGGTGTTTGGGAGTGGGATTCGATGGGCTTTGGATTCAGCAGGGATGGTGATGAGGCCGAATTCGATAATTTGGATGACAAGAAAGTAACCTAGTGTGTTACCGGCAACAAACCATGTAATAAAGCATAATGAAAAATAAGGTAATAATATGACATGTAATCCATTAAAAATTATTTAGTATTTGATAGAAGATGGGGCACAATCAACGAGGAATAGTTAGGTATGGACGTCTATATGGCTAGAAAAATCGAGGAAATTGATCAAAAATACGAATAATTCAACAAGAAATACAAAATTATGAATACTAGAAGAGCCACTTGGAGCAAAATAAAAATGTATTATGTGTGAATTATAGTGTAAACGACGACCTTACACACACATAAATTGTGTTGTTACGTAAAACCATATATGATATTCATGAGTTGGAGGATAAGAAGACGGTGTTCCTCAACGAATGAGAAGCACTCATTCAGCGGTGGCTTATCTTAAAAACCAGAGATATATACTACAAAACTCCATCAATTCTTTCTAGACGATTTCAATAAGCACTTTGTCAATGCAAAGTAGTTTGTTATATGCATGTTTTATTTCTGTTCTCTGTCTTTTGTCAACTTATGAGTTGTATTCAATTGTAACTTTAATGACTTTTTAGGATTTAAAAAGTTTAGGGATACTCAATGTATTTTTGAGACTCTTTAAAAGTATCGACATATTCAATTGAGACTTCTATAAACTTTTTAAAGTTTCTAAAAGTCACAGTATATTCAATTAAAAAAATTTAAAAATCTTTATAAAGTTTGATATATTCAAATTTTAGAGAATTTTATAAAAATCTTTAGGATACTTACTTTTAAGTAGAAAGTATTAAAACAAAATCTCAAAATTTGTCTTTCATTAATCACAAAATTTTGGGAAACTTTCACAAAATAAATAAATAAAGTAATTAATATGTATTTTTTTTCAATATTTCTCTTTCCTTTTTCCTTCCACTAACATTGAAGTTATGATTAAAAATTATTTTTTCTATTGATTATATTTGTTTCTATTTTTCTTTTTCTCTCTCTTATTGTTTATCTCTATTTTTTTAAAAAAAATTAAATTAAATTGGATTCTTATAATTTTTTCTTTTTTTTTTTCATTTATTTTTTGTGAAAAATATTTATTTTTAATTAAATTATAAAAATTATATAGACTAATTTATAATTATATTTAAATACATTAATTTTTTGTTTATTCTTTAAAGGCATATTTTATTAATAATACTGAATATTAAATTTATTTTTTATCATATATATGGATGTATGTATAGTTTTGATTATTATTTAATTAATTAAGGTCTTAAATTTTTATTCTTTTTAAAATATTTTTTATTATACGGGGAGAGAGAGGAGAAGGGAATTGTGGGAACAAACTCATATATGAGAATTTCACACTATTGCACTAGATCCACGTGAATTCTATTTTAAATGAAAGTTTTCAAAAGCTTTTTGAATTTTACAAAAGTCTATAAAAGTTTTAAAATGAAAGTCTATAGAAGTCTACGAAAGACTTCCACTAATTCCATCCAAATCTATAAAAAATCCATGAAATCCACAGAAGTTATCACTTTAAAAAAATCCATCAAAGTCTTCAAAAATTCTAATATATTACACCCGTTTTAGTATGTTCATATTAACTTTGTAATGTATAAGCTTCGTTTATTATTATTTATTTAATTAAGGTCTTAAATTTTTATTCTTTTTAAAATATTTTTTATTATATGGGGAGAGAAAGGAGAAGGGAATTGTGGGAACAACCTCATATATGAGAATTTCACACTATTGCACTATATCCACGTGAATTCTATTTTAAATGAAAGTTTTCAAAAAAAAAAAGTCTATAAAAGTTATAAAATGAAAGTCTATAGAAGTCTACGAAAGACTTCCACTAATTCAATCCCAATCTATAAAAAATCCATGAAATCCACAGAAGTTATCACTTAAAAAAAAATCCATCAAAAGTCTTCAAAAATTCTATTATAATACACTCGTTTTAGTATGTTCATATGAACTTTGTAATGTATAAGCTTCGTTCAAGTATGCTCCTATGTATACAAATTTGACATTTGAAATTCTCTTTTTACACTTTTCTATTTTATATCATATATATTTTGAATTATATCCTTTCTTTTAAATTATTTAATTGATTAAAACAAAAATGAAAAAGAAAATTTATCTAAAAGTATTTAAGATTTACTATCTAATAATATTAGAACTGAGATAAAGAAATTGAAATTATATATCACTATATTAATTGTTATATTCTAAAATATTCAACATTCAATTGAAGTTTTATATTCTATTCTTTTCTACTTTCTAGCTAATAATATTAGAATTGTAATAAAGAAATTAAAATTATATATCACTATATTATATTAATTGTTATGTTCTAAAATATTCAACATTCAATTGAAATTTTACATTCTATTCTTCTCTATTCCATAGACACTATCCTGCTAATGTATTGAATTTCTATGCATAGAAAATTTCTATTATGTCGGCCCGCTCAGTTTTGAGATTAGAAAATCGCATTACAAGTTATCGAATTGTCTCTCAAAATTACGAATAATGCTATTTAATAAGAGTGTATGACACGACTTAATTTAGCGTAGGCCGGTGTCTAGCATATACAAAAAAATTTTAAGCCCGACTTGACTCGTAAAGGTTTCAAGAATTTTATTTTGAGTAGATGAATAATAGGATATTTGTATAAATGACATGTCATAATGTGATTTAGGCTGAGTTATACTACACTCTTGTGTTTGCTTTTAAACAAACACAACACGGCACAACATGATAGACTCAGAATGGACACTCACATGGTGCACCTCAATGACCGAATTGCGACTCAACACTACTTCCCAACATAGCATCATATTCATATGTTTGGTAATGTACTCTTCCATGGAGGCACAACTTGACTTGAAGAGCGGACACTTCCATGGATCACCCTAACGTAGATCGAATTGAGCCTTGAAAAAATTTCCCAACATAGACTCACTTCCCAACTCTTGGTAATCAACTCTTTACATCAAACACAACTTGACTCAAAAAGTGGACACTTATACGATGCATCCCTGCAAATTGAATCGTGCACTAGCATGACTTCCCAACATAGAATCACATCCTTAAGTTTGATCATTTACTCTTTTACACTAACAAAATTCGAAAGATTCGTTTTTCAACACGACTTCCGAACACACTTAAACTCTACATTTAGCGCGTGTCTGGGTGCACTATTAATCAAAAGTCGGACCGCTAATAATCCAAAATCGGACCGTTGCTCTCTTTTTTTATTCAAGTTCATCTGACAAGAAGACTGAAAAAGTCAGGCCATAAGATGAGATTTTCCCAATTTACCCCCACCTCCATTACACGCCTCAAAGAGTCAAAGTTGGTAATAATTGAGGTGAGAGAAATTGATAGCTTGGAAGACAATAAGGTAATTTAATGCCAAAATTATTATTACCGTGCAAGAATTTGCTATCCAGTGGGCCCGTATGATTTGACATGAAAATTGATTTTCCATTCCAAAATCGCTCACAGACATGCCCTAAATTAAACACTATTACTAATTAATTTCTAAGGGCGTGTCTGTGCGCGATTAATAGTGCACCCAGACACGCGCTAAGCCAAACGTGATAAACTTCTTCTAGTAATTTATTACGACTTTTCCTATGGGTAATAGTTCAACAAACATTTAACAGAAAATCAGATAATAGGAACAAAGAGTCAACACAGATGCAGCTACTAAGTTATAAATTTCCAACCATGATTATCTCATCTCAGGGGCAAAATAGTTATTTCCATCAGTAGGATATAGATTATAGACTCTGCCTACGTGGATGGGACCCATCGCTTTCTTTACACTACAAAGACTCAATTTTTCAGAATGCAGTTGGATGAGACCCATCGCTTTCTTTACACTACAAAGACTCAATTTTTCAGAATGCAGATGCAAAATGCATGAGAGTCATCAGAAGGAGAAATAGAATAGTTAATAGAGACCTAAAAGTTATCAATTTATACAAGAATCTGCATGTGCTTTGATAAAAAAGAGTGTTTTTTTTTCTGTTTTTGCACTGGAAATTTCATCGCCAGAGCCGCCAGAGATTGTGAGACTCATTGGTTTCTCCGTCTCAAATTCAATCATTTTGTTTTCAAGAAACCCAATAAAATCTTCCATCTGCATGTGCTCTGTTTTTAATTCTCTTTAAAAAGAAAGGAAATAAATGGCAAATGCATCTGGGCTGTTTACACCTAATGTTCCTAGTGTGAGGAGCCGATTTTCTCCATCTATAGGCATTTATCGACCTGGGTTTTGGTTCTCTGAAGAAGTTTCCAGAAGAATACTGGGTTCCAGCATTGTTCAGGGTGAAGAGAAGCTTTCTCCCTCTGAATCCACAGCTCCCAGGTAAGAAATTTTACGTTTGAGTTTTTAATTTATTTGTTGGTTTTGTTTTTTTATTAGTAGGGTGTTTGCTTTGATTGATCAATTTCTTTAGAAATTTTCCTGCAATTGTTGTTTATTTGACTTTATTCAAAGTTAAATTTTTTATCCTGTGTACTCTCAATTTGGGATTTTATTGTTTTGTGGTTTTATATAATTGCTTTTGGGAATTTAATTGAAGTGGAGATTTGTTTGTTTAACTGAAAACTACTGTGTCACTCTCATTTAGCATTTAGGCAACATTTTTAATCAAGAAAAGTGTTAAATATTGATATTCTTATATATCCGTCAAGTGAATGTTTGGTACGTACTATTGCTAAGAACTTTACCGAATAATGAACAAGATTTTAGCTAATGAACTATTCAGAAAAATTGATTGGTCTGTTGGTACATGGATCATTTATGCACATGTATTTCTGTAGCTTGACGATCAAGTAATGCCTTTGATTTCTCCTGTTTTGACCTTTTGCTCTATAACTTGCTCGGAAGGAGTTTCTTATGGTGGAACAAAAGTTCTTTGTTGGAATTAAAGTTTTAATAAAATAGAACTTATCTCTCAGGTTTATTTAGTCCATGTTTGGTAGCGATTAAAATCAGAGTTTTAGTAGATTTTGATAGAAATTGATGGAATGTATGGTCGAGAAATTGTGGATCCTATGAAACGAGAGGTTAAAATTAATTGTTGACTTTGATTTAAATTTTAATCAGATTTTTTAGAGTCACCAAACAAGGGCTTAGACTTTCGTCAGTGACAGTTCATGGAATTTGTGAAGCATCAATTTATGTGTGTTCATATACTGTGAGAAGGGTTAAGCAAAAATCCATAATTTGAGAAGAGATAAATCCTACGACAGAGTGCAGAGTTCCCGGTGAAATTGGATTTCTTTATGCAGCACCAGTGGATTGCTAGAACTAAATAGGAAAAAATATCGAAATGGAAGGGGAGAGGATATTGATTAGTAGTTTTTAGTCACCCAAATATATGAGATGATTTTAAGTTATCGTGTGATGAGATTTCTTGAGGATGTGTGTCTTTTCTTTCTATCGTTTCTGAATTAGCACGCTGAGGCTAAGGGTCTGTGACCATGCGGTATCAGTTATCCTTCAAGATGATGTGGAGGCGTAGGCAAAACACGCCTTGAAAAGTAGCTTCATTTGTAATGCGCTGGCATTTCAATTGATGAAAGTTTTATTTTAAGAGTCATTCTTTGATTCTGATACTGTGAATAGAAGTTTATCTTATTTGGACTCTTGTTAAATTTGGCAAATTTCCTATTTAAAAATTAATAAGAAAACTATTAGCTACAGACAATCCAAATCTTGCTTATCATAAGATAATGCATTGGAGAATTCAAATGCGAAGTGCTTATACATGATCCACTGTCTCCTTTTATATCTGATATGATTTCAGTCTTATTTTTCTCTTTGGTGCATGCATAATTTCCCACCTTCATGAAACTAAAAATAATGAATATATTGATAATGACAACAATAAGAAATAAATAAAAAATATATATTTTCCCTCTTGCTAGTACAAATAGTGCTGTAGATATCAAGGTCTTATATTTGAAATATTTTAGTTTTGAAGTCCAGCTTGTTATATTCAAGTCATTTGTTGTAGGAATATTTCCTGGCATGATATCTGGGTATGGATAGTTTAAGAGTAACACTTAATGGTTTATAATAACTAACTTATTAGTTAATAATTTGTGTACATCATCTATGAAGAAATTTTCACTTTCGAATGTTTCTCTCAAATTCATATCAACCAGATAAATAATGTTTTAGTAGTTTAGCCCTCATTAAAGGTTTCTTGTTTGCATTTTGTTCATTTTTTTTACTAAAAATTGCTCATTCTGCTGCTTCCTTTGCTGTTGTTTTCTATTTAAAGCTTTACCTACACATGAGTCTGGTACTTTGCAGTTTTGGCTTATTTTGGAAACTCACTTCCCCCAAATCATATAATGCAAAATGAGTCAAGCTGTCTTGTTTTTCTGATTTGGTGCATTAAAATGATGTTTCACATAATAATATTATATTGAAATACTGCTTCTGAATCCTCTCTAATTCAATATTATATTGTAAGTAAAGGCTGCAAGTTAGTTGGATGTGGCTCTGCACTACCATGTCTTCAGATTTCTAATGATGATCTTGCAAAAATTGTTGATACTTCTGATGAATGGATCTCTGTTTGGACAGGAATTCGTAACAGAAGAGTTCTTTCTGGTGAATTTCTATGTGCTGTTGATGCTAGTTATTAATAAGGTGCTATATAGTTTAGGGTACTCCAAACTTGATACAGGGGAAATACTGAGGAATTTAGGTAATTAAAACTGGTTCTTGTCAATGACTCAACAGAAGACTTAACCTCACTAGGAGTTGTATTGTACATGCAGGTTGAAGGTTGGTGTTAATTTGGAGTTTAGTAATTGTAAAATTCTTTTTCGTATAGCCTACAATCTGTATTTGTGCAACTAATTGTGAATGGAACAAGAGCTAAAGCCACCCAATCTTGGCACTCTAGTTTAGCTACATCTGTCATCAATATGCCTGACTAAAATAAGGATGTACTTCTCGTCCTATAAATTTCTTTTTGGGTGTAATTTAAGATAATAGCACAAGTCATTACAGTTTCTGTGAAAATGGTAGATTTCAATAAAATAGTAGATTGAAGAATCAGGCTTACAATTTTTGATGTGTAAAAAAGTATCATATCAATAGATCACTCTGATCATATAAACAGTGTGATCTTTTTTATCCTCTGATTTTAGTGGGCTGAGCTGAGGGGTTGGCCCACTTGTGCACATACTGAGTTTAAATTGAAGCCAGGTTTATATTGCCAATCAAGTTCAGCCTACTCATATTCATCATAGCTGGGTACAGATGTCGATTGAATGAATGGCTTCACTTGCTGAATTTAAGCGTGCGGCATGTTTTTCTAACTGTCATCTATAAGAATGTTGTTGGATCATATTATAATTTATTTCGAGTATTAGGATTTCGAAGGGCATTCAAACTTTTAATATCGATATTCTTGATATACATCTGCCTCATGAATTTAGTGCAATGTTCGCTGTTGCAGGAAAAGATAGTTTGGTAGGTCTCGCTGCAGAGGCAGCAAAGAAAGCTCTCCAGATGGCGGAGGTTGATGCAGATGACGTGGACCTTGTCTTGATGTGTTCTTCTACTCCAGAGGTTCTCCGCAAGATTGAAGTACAGGAAGCACACTTCAATTCTGTAAGTTAGACTAGGACATCATGGAAATATTTCCATCTAGCTTATATACTAGTCTAGCTAGGAATTTATGTTTTTCCTTTTAGGCTGAATATCATTGAGTTCGAGAATAATACAAGAAATTTAATTCAGCCTGAATTTCAAGTTGGTATCAAATTAGGGCCTCTAAATTAAGTTTCGATTGAACCCTAAACTTCTGAACTCTAAATTTAATTTTGACTAATATATCTAAAGCCTAGGGAGAATCTTCTGGCGACCTTCTACTTTGCTCTAATGACCCTCGATCCTCTATTAGCTTCGGCTGACCAGCCTCTACCTCGCTTCAACGAACTTCTTGCTCCGACAACCCTCTACCCTTTATATCGCTTCGGCAACCCTCTTCCCTTGAAAATTAGGGCGTTAAAATTGAAATATTAAAAAAAAAAAAAATCCGTTCGAAAATTGCAGTTTCTCCTTCATTGTTACTGTTCATCAAGTTTTTTTTTTTAAAAAAAATCGTGTTTGGTATCGATTGAAATCTAAATTTTAATCTAAATCAAGGTTAACAATTAATTTTAATAACATATTTAATGGAATCCATAACTGTTTTAACTTTTATCAAAATTTACTAAAAGATTGATTTTAATCTCCACCAAATAGGGGCAAAATCACAATAAATTTGAATTTCGATAACATGCTAATTTTAAAAATTCACCGACGATCGTATGCTAATCGAATCTACAAATTGTTTATATCATCTCAAACCTTATTTCGAGAATTACATTATGGGCATCAGGGCATATCGAATAGTCAAAACAGATATCGAAAATAGTAAAAAATACGTTAAACGTAAGTCTTAAAAAAAGACGTCTAACTCGTATTTTTTTAAAAAAATTCAATTATTTCATTAACATTTATTATTTTTGCGATACAAATTTCTCAATGTAATTTTCATCATTTTATTAGAAAATTTGATATGGAATATGACATAAAAAAATTTCGAAATTTTGCATCCGAAAAGTCATATCCCATGTAAATTTTCGGATGTAAAATTATATGGGGTATGAATTTTTTGGACGTAAATTTTCGATTGTAAAATTTTCCCAACTTCTTTGCAAGTTCGATTGTGCCCCCCTAACTTTTAAGGTCTGCGTCCGTCCCTGTCTGCAACCCTTCATCTTGGTCGACCCAACCATCTAGTACGCCTAAGGTTCTAAGACATCATGGCTTCAACTGTGTTCGAAGATTTTATACCCTCTTGTGTGTGTTGTTTGTGCATGTTAATGTGTTATCATGTGTGGGCTTTAATCTTTTGTTATTGGTCTTATGAATTCTCATGCATTTCAAGTAAACCTCATGCAGGGCAATCTTACCAATAGGATGATTATAACTGGTAGAACGGAGAGTTTTTTACTACTTGGATTTCCCATTAGAGCTTTTACTACTTGAAGTTGCAATCAGAGTCCAACAATGGTTTTCAAAAGTAGGCCATTTTATACATAATAATACAAGTTGGGCATGTGTAATATCGATGTACCCACTTGAGGGGGAGAGTTGGAATAGGAGATTATAGAAATATTTCCATCTAGCTTATATTAATTCCTATGTTTGTGTAAATAACCAATGAATAATAAAAAAAATTCAATTCAGCATAAATTTCAAGTCTTCACGATGGGGATTTTAAGATGTGTTGAAAGGATAATCGACATCATTGAAAACTTAAATATGACTAGCCATGAGGATATTCTTTCTTTGTCACCATATTAAGAATCTAAAAATGAGTTTTACCCCCACGGACTTGCCTTAATATCGGGACTGATGGAGGGCTTGATCGGCTTAGGGGACCGAACTCACTCCTAATCTGTTGCATCCTCATACTATGAATGTATTTTTTGGGGCTAATTGATGAGCTTTCAGTTTTAATATTTTACGTTCTTTAGTGATTTCGCGATCTTCAAATTCAATTTGCTTCTCATTTTACAGATAGCATACCAAATGTATAGTTAACTTTGTATGTATTACTTTTGTCCATAATATACTAGTACCTCTTGAAATTGTATTTGTCTAATATGCCAGATTCCAAAAGCGCTTGTCTGCAAAAACAATCCATTAGCTTATGATATTACAGCAGCTCGTAGTGGATTTGCGTAATGCCTGTGTCAGCTGCTTGCTATATCAGAGGTAAAATTCTGTTTCTCCACTATAAGGAGATTCCCAAACTCTATTAATTGTACATGTCCAACTTGTTTCATTTTCTGTACAAATTGAAATCATTCTGCCGTGCAGGGGGTGGCTTCAATAATGTTTTTGTGATTGGAGCCGATGCTCTCTCTCGATATGTCGATTGGACGGATAGAGGAACCTGTATTCTCTTTGGTGACGCTGCTGGTGCTGTGCTAGTACAGGTATGGGGTTTTCATCTTTACCAAACTTGGTTTTTCTCGTTGTTATTTTGCACTGTGTGAATTAATTATTTCCCAAGTTCATTAGTCATCTTATACACAGTAATGCACCCATATATTCACTATATATCGCTATATATATGAAAAAATTGATAGAGACTAATTATTCAGGGTAGAGTTTGGAGTCATTTTCTGGTTTTCATTTCATAATCTTCTGTAGAGGTTTATAAAATCTCCATCACACATCTTTTTTTTTTTATAACTGTGGATGTTCGGGCCAACTTGTTCGCACATCGACTAATCCCACGGGGCCTGAAGCTTACGGTCGGGTACTCACTTCAGTTGCTCCGAGGGGACTCGAACTGATAATCATTGGGCAGCAAACCCAATGTTTGACTAATTGAGCAACCCCTCAATGTTGCATGACACATCTTTTCAGGTACTCGGAAAAGATAACGATGGAAGTAGGCATTATCTATAATGTAAATCATCTTAAATGGGTTTAGAACTGAACGTATTGTGCAATTGGGAGTTGAGAGTCAATTTATCTTCTACCGTCTTGTTGTTAAATTAAATGCAATGGCAGCCCTAAAATTTTGGATACCTTATGTGACATTTAAAAATGGTACTCCTTTCATTAAATTAAAAAAATATATTTCAATAATATTATATCATCGCAAAATTATGATATTTAAATACTATTTATTTTTTTAAATGTCGTGAATAAGAAAAGTACAAATCAAGTTCAAAAATATCTTCCAAACTTCATCAAAATTCATGTCATCAACAAAGAACCATCCAAGCCCCTAAACTCTTCGTGCAATTCCATATGAGAAAAACTTGAAATCAGAAATATCAAATACCACGTGTAAACTTTGAAATACAACAAATTAAGTAAAAAAGAATTCTTCTCCCTTTTCTAGAAGCAAACTAACTAATTAACCTTTCGTTTCTGGCAAATCGTGTTTAATAGATATCAAGGTAGGACATTCAATCGTTCTTATAACATGATTGATTGTAAATGAGATTTTAATAACTTCAATTTCTAAAAAGTTCTTTCAGTAGATGCAACAATAACAATAATTGTCAGTAATACTCTATAAGCAATAAATGTATTCTAAAAGCAATCCAATATTTTCAAATAAGTCAATATATCACAATCTATATTTGTTTCTTTTGGTATTTCAAATAAGTTAATATATCAAAAACCCTCTTTATTTTTTTTTTTTGTAAAAAAATTGGCAAAATTTTTAACTCTTGAAGCAAATCTTTGCCATCAAGATCGCAAACATGTACATGTCTTAAAACAATGTCAAAATGATCATAACATGCTTTCAAATCAGCATCATCCAATGTACTTAACTTGTCAAAACAAAATAGAAATCCAATTTTTTTCATATTAATTAAAATGATCGAACCTTCACTCAAGTGATCCAATTGCTTGATCTGCTATATAAAGGAAATAATTGGTTATGAAAGAATTTTCAAGTGATTGTGCATCCTCTACGGTGATATTTTCATCAAAATGTTTCTTCCTACAAATTATATTTTTTTTCCTTATTTCCCTTTCCCTTGACATTATTTAAGGTCTGATACAATTTAAGAAAATTATAACTAGTTAATTACATTATTCTTAACTTTATGATCTTATGTAATTGCATATCATACGAAGTCAAATGCATACAATTAATAAAGAAATAATTCATAAATGAAAATAGTTAAGCACAACACACTGAAATTAGCTATGAAGGAGCCTAAACCATCTGAATATTTTCCCTTGCTTTAATAAAAATATATTGATATGATATGTAATTAGAAATAAAAAATATAACAATGCTAAATAAAAAATCATCATTTGTCTATCTTTTAACTTCTTTAAGTAAACATTGTGCCCTTTAAATTAACATAATAATTAAAGTTTTAAATTTTAAAACTAATAAATATTGTATATATATGTATACACACACCCAAATAACAAAATTATTTTGTAGCCCTATAATAATGAGGCCATATGCAGTCGTTTAACTCGTGCACCCTCACAATCGCTTTGATAAGGAATAAACTTTAGTTAGCTAACCATGAGCTGATTATGCTCAGTCAATGTCTCGTGGGAACCTATGAATTCACACCTGAAAGCGATCATGGGAACGCATTAGATTGATGGATATTTCATTAAGAAAATTCGTTTTGCAAACTATCATTTAAAGCAACTGATAACTGTTTAAAAATCCTTTTAATAGAAATTTGATTGGTGAAATTATAGATTTTATGCATATTTGAAATGGAAAGAGACATTAGAAATAGATATTTTCGATGGTTCGATAGTTGGCGGTGGCTATGAAGGCCTCGTCGATGAGGGTACTTTAGGGAATGAAATTGGGATAATTAGTAGGTAATTAGAGGTGTTTGGATTTGAAATTGGGTCTAGGTTTATATTGAGATTTATTGAGATATTCCTATCGTATGTATATATGGTTAAGCGTGAGTTTAGGAATTAGATTAGAATTACAGCTTTAGTTTTCTAATTTCTAGTTTCCTGTTTTCTATTCTTTTGTATATATATATATTACCAAAAACATTTCAATAAAAGGGGCAAGCCATTCACGACTTCTTCATGGTATCAGAGCCACACGGCTAAGATACACGTCCGGTAATGGCTGACGGTAACGATACGACTAAGACTCCACCTCCACCTATATCTTCTCGAAATGACCATACGTCTCCTTTTTTTCTTGGCTCACAAGACAGACCTGGAGATCTCATCACTCCGGTTCATCTTCGACACGACAATTATGATGAATGGCAAGGTCTGTGCGTCTTGCTCTACTATCCCGCCGGAAATGCGGCTTCGTCGATGGCACGATTATGGAACCCAAAGCACCTTTCACAATGGAGGATTAGCTTACCATTCACTCGATGCTTGTTTTCGCGCACCCTCAGGGCCGCCTCTGATTAAATGCATATGCTGCCACATATTTTAGATCCTACTTTATGTGGATTCAGCACCCACGCGTGTTGTCACTATAACAGTTACACAGATTGTGCAGGTATCGAAGACCTAATCTTGCTCTAGTTGTAGGAAGATGATTTCAAGCAAGGGGATAGATTGACCCCTGAATCAGATTTCTGTGTCTTCTATATAAAACGCGACTTTCTTTGCCTTGAAATAACTACAATTTACAACCTTTGACCAAGTGTTAGATGGGGTTTTGGACAAGTAATCTTTAACCAACAGTTCTTGTCTAAAGCATGGAAGATTAACCTTTATTCAGTCTGTTCTGTCTAGCAGTCCTATGTATCATATGGGCAAAGTTGGCTTTGACAGGAAGATGCTATGGATATAACCCTAGAGACAATCTTCTTTGTGGGGAAGGATTGGGAGGGGAATGTAGTTGGACCAAATGGTGGATTCCAAAAGAAACATGGGAACCATCTCAGCTTTCTTCTGTCAAGGGGAGTCAATAAAAGTACAAAATGAAATCGAGCATCCATTCGGTGAAAAATATTTCATTCTTTTTCTTTTGTTTATTAAAAGATAGCCACTTTGCATATCTTCTTTTCTATTGTTGAAACAATCTATTCACGTCCAGATTGGTTTCTATTTGCTGGAAATGATTTCTTGCAACTATACTAATTTTCACAGTTGTTTGCAGGCCTGTGATAGTGAAGAGGATGGTTTATTTGCTTTTGACTTGCATAGTGATGGTGAAAGACTAAGGTGTGTATTCTCAATTTATTTATAGACCCATCGTGTATTTACCATGTAATAGTCAAAACGAGTAATGAGCAATAACTGCTTTTGCAGGCACTTAAACACCACCATCAAGCAAAAGGAAACAGATCATTTGTTAGGTACAAATGGCTCGTTACTAGGATTTTCCCCAAGAAATTCCTCTTACTCTTGCATTTAGATGAACGGTAAAGAGGTCTTTCGCTTTGCTGTTCGCGTTGTGCCACGGTCAATTGAATCCGCTCTCTAGAGAAGGCAGGTCTTACTGGATCCAGCATAGGCTGGTTGCTGCTTCATCAGGTATAAAACAGGAAACCTATAATATTTCTATTTGAGCAAATGTAATGTAATGAAAAAGAGGACTTTGTTCTATTTCGTTAAGCATCATAGTGTTTTCCATAAATTTAATAGTAGACAATTGTCAACATTCAAATCAACTAAAGTTGGCAAGAAAAATTATTATAAAATTACAAGGTACAATTTGGCAGATAGGTATTATATTTTTTGTCAAATAACTGAAGGGCGCTTAATTATTTCTCTGTCTGTGATTTGTCATAAGTCAGGTAATAAATTCGGTTGAATGAAAGGGTGCGGATATAAAGAGACATCAAATGAAGTTAAGCAGATATCCATTGCTAATGATAGTTGTAATATGATCTTGAATTCGGTTGAATGAAAGGGTGCGGATATAAAGAGACATCAAATGAAGTTAAGCAGATATCCATTGCTAATGATAGTTGTAATATGATCTTGAATAAGTAGAGGCAAAATGCTGAGAGCCTGGAACTTGAATAGAAGATAAACATAAGTTGTGTCATTCTGGAAGCTGACACTTCTCGTTATAGTAATATACATGCATGTATAAGAAGAAGTATCGACCTTAAGACTTCAATGCTATTTTCATTTTTGTTCTAGAAAGTCTGACATCTTCATCATATCAAATTGTTTTCGTACCAGCTTGGCATAGCTTTTAAAATGAGTAACTAAATTAGGTTTTTTAGCATATTGTTGGTATAAAGACTTGCTAGTGTACTAGACTATGTATAATTTGTTGCTAAAATTTCTCTTTTACGTTGGATTGTGCCCAGTCTATTTGTATGGTGCAGTTTTTCACTGGCTGCAACAAACTTCACTATAAAGTTGATGGGGGTCGCGAGGGCTCTGTAGCCCATTACGGTTTTTTATTTTTTGGGGGGAGGGGAGGTGTATATTGGCCATTTATACAATTATTAGGTCAGCCTAATTTTTCTATCATATATTATATAATGAATTTTGGGAGCGGTGGCATCTGGCATGTTGAGAGATTTACTTTGCGTGTTTCTGATTTTATTTTGTTTATGATTACTCCCAAAGTAAGTGGTTAAGATTTAATCCATAACACTTTACTCGATAAGTACAGGAAATTGTACGTATTTTGCAGTGACCTTTAAAACTGTCATTTATACGAGTATCAACTGAGATTTAAAATGGTATCGACTAAATTGCAGGCAAACCAGAGGATAATCGATGCAGTCGCAACACTTTTGGAGGTCCCATCTGAACGTGTTATATCCAACTTGGCAAACTACGGTAACACAAGTGCTGCGTCCATTCCATTGGCATTGGACGAGGCTGTACGAAGTGGGAACGTGCAGCCAGGCCATACTATTGCAGCTGCTGGATTCGGAGCTGGTCTTACATGGGGCTCGGCCATCATTAGATGGGGATGAAGCTGGTGCAGTAACCATTTTTTATCAATGTAGAAGAATTAAGAGTATCTGTTAATGACGTTCAGTAAGTTTTGTATCCAGTTCCATTCCTGTATATCCAGTTATTAGGAAGGTTCATTGACATTATCTCCTGGAGTTCCTTTTCGATTAGTTACTGTTAAAATCGAGCATAAATAAATTTTATCCTGTCGTTCAGCGCCCCCACTTTTCCGGGCTTTAACTGTGGTATTCTGATCAGAACTGTGTTCAGCAGTGGAAGAAGTCTTCAATATGCATGGTAATTTTATGGAGGTGTTGGAATGAATCTCATGGAACTGTATATTTGACGATGAAGAAGTCGGAATTTGTGTTAGAAAGACCATTGTTCATTATTTTGAAATGATTAGACATTTATTTTTATCTTTTATCGTTTTATATTGTCGACCTGTGTCAAGTCGCTCAGCCTGAAACAAAAACATGATCAAGAATCCCGTCTATCGTCGTGAATATCCAGAAGAGAGGTCAAGAACTGAATGTACATGTCTTCCAAATTAGTTCAAAATTTTGGATACCCAGGACATGCCATTGAGATCCAGCAGAGATGTGCTGTATGCACACATGGTGTTGGGAACTTTTTAATGATGCGCAACCCAACTTGGCACCTCCACATCCTTTTCCCACCTACTCAAAAGTCCATTAAATTCAACCCCTTGTCATTTTGGTGACCACGTATCGAACAAGTCGACCTTAATATACCCCTCACAAGATTGTGAGGCAGCTGGTTACCAATCTTAAAATCTGACAGCTTATTTTAACTTTTTCAACTCTGAAAGCATTTCAAGTCTTGATATAACCTAACTTTTTGACTGATGAACAATCCCTCCGGTAACCATTAAATGCATACTTAATACATTGCAACCAGAATACACAAAAGATTTTAACCATATTAGACGGAGTGACAAATCCATGATTGGATTCATTTACAATCCCTAGGTAGAATCTCTCTTTTAGCAGTCATTGCAGACTAGTACAATAGCCCACTTGTTTGATACTGTCAACTAACAGAGAGCACTCTGTCCACAACTTAATAATCGGTATCAACTTCAAGAATAATGACTGATTTATCAGTTACGGCATAGTATTAAATAAGAAGAAGAAGCTAAAATAGAGGCAGCGCAAAAATTAGAACTTTGAACTGGAATCTAATAACCAAAAGTAGCACTAAAATTACGTCGGATCTTGTCTGCTCACAAGGAAAGATTACAGAGTTCAATAGCTACACCTAACATTATGATACTGATTATTTCTTATATTATATATAATTATGTATAGAATACACGAACAAAAATACACGATAATCTAAAGAATAGAGAGAACGAACAGCTGCTATAACACCACCCAAAAAATTCGCCGTGCAGAGATGGCAAGTCTTTGCACATTGCGTCGACTGGAGGAATTGTCACCATACATCACGCAGATACCGTCCGGTCGTTTGCAGATTCTTCACCATGCTCTCAGCTTTAGAGGTGTCTAGAGATCCCTGAAACAATAATAAATGGGATTAATTAGCTATAGAAGTTGACTTTATCATTGCCTCGAGCAATTCTGCTTTAAAATCTCAATAGATCCGGGAAGGCGAAATAACAATGGCTTGTGTGGTAAGGTGGACTATAGAGTTTAGTATCCAAGAAGAAAAATAAGCTAAAATATCGTCTATTATACAGTCCAATCCAGTCTACTACTCACCATACCAAACAAGCTGGAAAGGTGTGGAATTGAAAAGGGAAAGCCAAATTGGCACCCAAAAAATATGATACTAAGAGAATGAAGCGCACACACCTACTAAAGGAAAAGTAGCTACATATATCATTCACACACATACCTTCTCTTGCATAATGGTGTGCAGAGTTCGGTGAACATCTCGGGCCATGCCTTTGGCATCACCACAGACATATAAGTAGCCTCCCTCAGAAATCATGTTCCAGATATCTGAAGCCTGTTGTGCACCACAATATATTACTAAAAATTTGAAGACAATATGCAATCAAAATCCGTAGCCTGAAACTAGTTAGATAATAGGCGGAAATGGTTGAACACCTTTTCCGTCATCTTATGCTGCACATATTCCTTAGTCGGTCCTTCACGTGAGAAAGCTATCACCAGCTCGGAAATTACACCAGCATCAATGTACTTATTCAGCTCTTCCTCATAGATGAAGTCCTGAAAATTGCATGAATTATTTTAGAAAAATCTTATAACTAATGTGTCTTGAAAACCCAATGTTACAAATGATTAGTGATTTACTAACCATTTTACGGTTTCTGCAGCCAAAGAACAATACAGCAGGACCAAGTTCTGCTCCTGATTCCATGAGAGCTAATCTTTCCTGAAATTAACAGATATATGTTCGATCAATATCTATTCAGCATTAGGAGAAGCTAGGACCGCATAGGATGTAACATGAATTGCTTTCTTACAAACCTGAAGGAAACCCCTAAATGGAGCCAAGCCCGTACCAGGGCCAACCATTATGATTGGCACTTTAGGATCGGTTGGGAGTTTGAAGTTAGATTGCCTAACAAAAATAGGAGCCCAACTGCAGTCAATGCTTTCCTCCAAAGAGAGAGCATTCTGAAAAGCGATAAACGGTGAGCACCCACACATAAGAGGGTTGTACAATTTACACAATGAGCTCATTAGACTAAAAGATGGCAAGTCCGACATATATATGTCCTGATAAATCTAGAACGATTTAAAATATTCAGGAAATACACTATTCCTTTGGTAAATAACTATTTTTATTTACTGGCACTTCCCAGTATTTTATTCACTCAGCTGATATGCATATATATAAACCAAGTAAAAAACCAATACCGTCATCCACGTTGAGCAGATACCCTTATGAATTCTTCCAATAGGTGTTTTCTCGTAGACCAGTGCACAAGTTACATGAATTCTAGAGGGTGCAATCCTGCAAAACATTTATCGCAGATGTTAAAAAAAATGAATGAAAAGAAACAAAATAAAGAGTAATGCTACAGGTACATAAGCATCTACATAAGGGTTCACATAATTACACGTGGCATATGATCCAACCTTTAATTCAAATTTCACACTTACACATCAACGATTGGATGATTAACACATCACCATTATGTACACCATTATGTGCATCATTATGTACCTCTAGCATTATTCCAAAATAAAACAAGTAACATATTTTCTCATGTGATTACATCTCAAATCAGAAACGTGTTCGTTTTCATTGTCCACAAAGAGACCTCATATCATAGTCAGCTGACATGAGCGGGTAAACAATAATGATCCTTCCAAACAGATTTTGAAAGCCCGGGACAAAAAATTCCCTTTTCATTGCACTAATGTGCAACACATGGTGCAATGCTACGAGCATAGAGAATAGCGGGGTAGGGAAATAACTACTCACTTTGGGGAGGATGAGATAGAATAATATCTAGGCTGCAGACGAGGGGCAATGGCTGCAAAGAAGACACCAAGTGAAGGTTTGGCAGATGGAAATTCTGCCATGACCTCGAGTAGGCTTCTCTGACTTGCAACTACCCACTGTGCATATTCGTCCTAAAGAAAAAAGCAATGCTCTCTGTGAGAATAATGACTTTTCAACCAAATTCAATTTCAAGAATGGACTAAACATAGTCACACCTTTCCAGCTGGAGATGCAAGATGTCTTAGTCGACCGGCTTCACTTGGATCAGAAGCATGATCCGCTAAAGCAATTAAAGCAGACTGGAAATCACATGTAATCAAACCATTAATACTCAGTTGTCCTTCCCAAGTAAATCCAGGAAATAATTTAATAAAATGGGTTATAAACAACCTTTTTGGGAGAACTCAAGAGATCCGCATATCGAGCAAGTGCGGTTCTTAACGTGCAAGGTGGAAAGGGAGGTAGTAGGGAGCTTCCGCTGAGTGGTGTGCCATCCTCTTTATCAGTGTGAATGGAGAAGTAAGTATCAGCGGGCAAATTCAGTAACCTTTCTGCCTCCATCACGGTTTCAATCAAGTTCTCACAGAAGACACCAACATGATCTCCAGTGTCATATCTAAGGAGAAAAGGAAAGAATAAATAAACAAGATTTAAACAAAATTGACGAGGAAGGAACCAGTGATTTTTACTAGTTTAACTATTATAAGAAGATATTATGTGGCAGATGATGTAGAGCAAACACTTACGCAAGTCCAGTGCCAGAAATATCAAATTCCAAATGAGTGCAAGAACGATCAGATGCTGTAGTGTGAAGCTCCTTCTTCACAGCCACGATAGCTCTTCAAGAAAAGTACTTATGTTAGGTCACGTCCGGGAGAGAGAAACGTATCTCTGAAAATTGAGAAAAAAGGACCACCGAGAAATAAAAATTAACACATTCAATACCTGCAAGGATGTTGAGCATCATAAACGGTGTGACCTTTGGCATGAATTGTTCCATTCTCCAGAATTGACACATCTGGACGGTCGTGATAAACAACACGATATTCTGGGACAGCAGCAGTGTAGGGAGTATTCGCAGTTGCATCATCCTCATCACGGAGCAATTGATCCAACTCGGGCCACAATAACTCACGCCTATATCACAAAAACTCAATGAGAATTGTTGAAGCTATTATCTCCTTGTTTTTAACAGATAAAGATGCTCCATTTTAAATAATAATACATAATCTTAATACCATGCAGCAAAATCATCTTCAATGCATTGATCATCATCTCCAAGACCCACAGGGACAAGTCTTTTCCCGCCTGGAATCAGGAAAAAAAAAAGGAAGGTGAGAGGATAAAAAAGACAATAACGTGATACGTACATGCACAGCCAACATGAAATTTATAATGCATAATGTTCAAATAAGTGATTTTTCTTTCTATCTCATATTCAGATTAAGGAAAAATTCACCACAGAGATGCATTCCACTTTGTTCTAAATATTTTGAAATGGATCAGCATCAATTCAATGATATCTCAAGAACCTATATTGGAGCATGATGATCAA